ACCTTTTTTGAAGGGTCATTAACGCTCTCATTAAATAACTTCAGTGCTGAAGCCTAATAAACTGGTTTGGATTTTGTCTGCGTCGAATTCAAGAAGCTTCAGATAGCAATATCGATTTGACTGTTTGAATTTTTGATGAATAAAATTTCCATGGACGTGTTGAAGTGAGAAATTGTGCAGTTAGGCCAATGCCGGTCGATTTGGGAATAAACATCACCCATGTGTTCGCCAGTTTTTTGGATGCATCCATTCATCCAACCCATCCCAAGTATAATTAACACATTCTTTTCGAGCAATATTTTGTCCAAAAATCTTCTGCTGTAAATGTTAGGGTCAGGCATGCTTTTTTTGCAACATGTTGTATATCATTTTATTGATATGGCACTCATGTGTATCTGTTTCTTTTTAAAGATATTAAAAAACAATAAATCAAACATCTTCAAAGTTGTAATCTTCCCGTTTGATAAAAACATTGCTGACTTAATAACCGGCAAATGTGCCTGGCACCATGTCAAGCAAAACCTTTTTTACAATGAGGTTTTCCCGACGCCCGCCTTTGCAATGACATAAATTCTGTATACGCGTTGTTTACCGGAAAGGAATAGATCTTTGTATGAACATATTTCATGTTTAGATGTAGCATTATTTGCATTAGGAATGCATTTGTTATTTCTATTGATCTGATTGTTGGCTGCACGTAAAACCTCTTCAAGCGGAACATCATTTTCTATTATCAACGGAGAATAGGTAATGTTCCTTGGGAAACGTCTGTAAAAAGTTACCAAATCATGGCGTAACCCTGAAATTTTGGACATAATTTTTATACGCTGACACAAATTCTAAACTAGAGTAACTTAAGCATGGTTATTTAAACAAAAGCACAATAAACTTAGATCATTCGTCAAATAGATATTTTAGATTTACATATAGTAAGAACAAATTAGCCTCTAATCGGTATTATTTTAACTTAGAAGAGAAACATAAAATTTATCTAGTGGTTAAGATAACATTAAATTTATCTAGTGGTTAAGATAACATTAAATTTATCTAGTGGTTCTAAGCTTATTGTTTACAGCAATCTTGAAGACAAGACGTCGGGTTATACTTTATAATAAAGTTTATAAAACTATGTTTTTGTGAATTTGCAAATAAATAATGGTTATTATCCTTCAGAACAAAAGAAATATGCGTCTTTAAGGAACACATTAAAAACCATTTTGAAAATTTATGAACAAAAGTTAACAGCACTTACTTTTACAAAGGTGTTTGTATTTCAAACAGGAAAGGATATCAAAACGATAGGCATGCTGAGGAAAATCATTTGCTGTAAATGCGAAACAAGAAGAACTGTTTAATAGTTTCGTTCTTCTTTATTTTATCATAAATTACTTATATTGCAAAACAAATTGGATTTGTAATTCAGGGTTCGCATGCTCGATCGTCGAGCTTAGCAAAATTTCTCTGCGACAACTGATCTGAGACATTAAGTCTAATTAATATTGTCTCACACTGCTGACCTATAAATCATATTGGATTAACTATAGGTCGTTCACCTGCACAAAATACATCCTATACTGGTTATTTTACAGAAAAGCCGGGCAGGCTGACCAGATGACGAGATATGACTTAAATTGGTTTAACAACAAAGTTAACATAAAACTCTGGATTTATTAGTTAGCATATTAATACACTTCAGTCGTTTTTAGAACGTTAATAATTCATATACATAGGCATGTATTAAGACGGTCAAACTAACATTATATATCGACAATTTTACAAAAATCAACATCGCTTACCATTTCCCTTTCGGAGAATTTCATCGACAACTTACCTTTAATTTCTTCCTTCATTTCTTTAAGAGCTTGCAACTTTATTGTAACTATGGTATCTAATTGTGTAAGTGCAGAGTTTCTTTGTTTGGCTACCTCCGTTTTTATATCGTTTTATCACCTTACGTGGTATTTGCATCGGCATCTTCTTTATTCTGCCTTTCTGATTTATTTCCAGTGGTCGATTCTGCGTCTTTCTTATTTAAGTGTTGGTCTATTTCTTCACCGGCATTCTCTAACGCTTCATTTAAATGTTCAACGGGGACGGTTACTTCATTCTTCTTCAGCTGAACAATGAAAATAGAATCATTATGTAAGCACGAATTTTATGTAAACTTTCAATACATAACTCCGTAAATTAAGCTTTTAATAGATTGACCTTTGTATGTGTAAACTGTTATCAGATTTTAAAACCATACCTACTAGGCTTCTTTGATAACAAAAAAATAAAATATGAATTTGCAGCAGCTGTTTATTGCCCTCATTGTTAAATGAAAATCGACGTTACAAACGTGCAGAATTTCAAATACGCGCCATTTAAGATATGATCAATGTTTATACAATGTTTAATTGAACGTCATGCAATTCACCAACCAAGTAAAGCTGTTTCACTGCTTCTTGTGCTGCTTCGTTATGAGCCAAACATTCAGCATCGGAAAGAAGACTTATCAAACTGTCAATATAACTTTCTAGATTTGTTCGTGAAACAATCAAATCTCCAGAATGTCTTATATCATTGCCCATATCACGCACCTAAAATAAAACACAATTATTATAGTAATGTTAATAAAATTTCAACACATTGACACTTTGTAATTTCATTAATTGGAAGTTATGTTAAATGTTATGTTTTATGTCAAAACCGATTGTTATACTGAATGGGTTTTGGGTGCAATATACCTGTATTCACCAAATAAATCACTAAATGTTATAGTCATTGCTTTCATATGAACGGTTAAGAAACTCTTGAAAAAAAAAACAATGTAAAAATTACCTTTGTGACCTTATTTACTTTTTCACTGAGCAAATTTGGCATTGTGCGTCCAAAGCTTTTTTTACATATAAGTATGGAAAGAAACCCATTAAAATCCACATCCTTAAGGCTCTTGGCATTTCTGTAACGGTCTGTAGGAGGCACAAAACATTTCGCTATTTCGACTAAGTCGGTGCCCCATCTTGTTGCGTCTGTACTTTTCCAATTAGGTATCTGCCTGTGCTGTTTTCGTATTTCGTCTCGGATATGATGGCATATGTCCTTTGCACAATTTCTTCCAGGTACCTCTCCTTGAATCGTTGACCTATGGGAAACACATCTATTTTGACGTCCCTTGACACAAAAGTTTTTCGTTGGACAGCTCAAAATAAGTTCAGTCGTACATGAATTGCAAATGGAACTTTTATTTATCTTGTGTTCTGTAAGGACTGTTTGGATAAAGTTATTTAAATCGTCTTCCAAAGTCGACTCTATTCCTCTTTTTGTCAAAACCATTGCCAGGTGACTTTTTAGCCAGTTCCAAAAGCCGCCTTCCTTTAACAACGAATCCATCATTTGTGGAAGTAATGTTCTTGTTTCAAGACTCACTTATCTCACGTGACCTAAATATTGTCTGGCAAAAAGTATGCTTTATTAGATATTTGACTATTATTATTTTTCTTACATAATTAGAAAGTATCTAGTAGATAAAAAAGGTAGATCCCTTATTATCAAGTAGAATCAGAGTAAAATACAATAAAGAAAAAGCAACCGTCACATGTGAAAGCTTAGGCATATTAAACAAATACTTAGTATGGTCTTCATTACTCTCTGAATTTTAATGTAAAATGAAATGATGTTATAAAAAATATATTACCCTGCATGCAAAATCTTTCGTCTGTGTCTGTGTCATGATCTCGTTGTTATGATTGTTTTATTTCTGAAAAATAAATGAAACATTTCAAAGTGGAACTAAGTATAACGTTTAATGAATAAATCGTGCAAAACAACCTAATTTACCCTTTTACATTTGACACGTTCTATTTATAAATATGTCCGGTCCATTATAGCACAACATGTGTTGCGTGAGTTTCTGGTTAGTAGCTCAAATGTTTGCGACAGAACTAGAGGTGAAATGTCAAAATTGTGGTTTAATATGTCGTTGTTCCTGTTTTTGACTGATTCTGGGAGCACTTGGCAATTATATGTTTACCTTAGAGACATGATGTCTCGCGAGGAAGCTGAAAATTAAATTCAAAGCTGATGGTTGACGATATGAGATTGGTAGCATAATAAATAGCTGTCAAGCAACATTTTCTCTCACGTCGTAAGGCAAGGTCTTTAGAACGTTTGTTTTGTCATTTGTAACTAAATTCACTTTCATACAACGGCGATTTTCTTACTCAACTCAAGATAAAAAAAGCAGAACGCCAACCTGAGCGCAGCGGACAGGACGATCGCATGCATCGTTACAGCAACGCAGAGTAGTGGCAGGATAGCATAAAACACATACAACGGAAGGCGTTTGTTTTGGTAATGTCATTCGCCTTTGCATGAATATAACAACGGAAGTGCTACGGACGCCAAAGAAAGCGCACATAAATCAAAATGAGAACGCATTCTGGCGCTTGAAATGGGACGGTGTTCTTCGAGATGTCACTTAGTCATAGGATGCAGTGGAAACCCCATAAATTCCTTATGCCGAATTCGAGTTGAGAACGAATATAGTTGCTGTAAGGGTACAACTATTGCCTCAAGATGTAAAGCAATTGCGACTATTTTGAACATGCACAAACATCATCGGCGTTCTCAGTGCGTCCTGGACTAGGGACGTCGTAGTCTCTGTAGAATATCCCACGTACTAGTAACGTACATTAGATGCCGCATATTCACCGTTTAAAAGCACATAAACTGTTAAAAATTCTGTTGGTGACTCTATTGTGACACTAGCATGTTTGCAGTGTGACAAGAACGTTCTTAATTCGACTATGACGTTTTCAGGACGTCGTTTCAGACACCACCGGTTTTGTGTTACAATATTGGCGTTAATACTGCACGTGAAACTGACTGGAAAGGAACAAACCGAGACAATGGCGTTTTCGAACAATACTAGGTTGATAACGTGGGTAGTGGGCAATGAAGCGAAGACAACCACGAACTTAAACTTCGTAGCCCCTGAACGCATAATAAGCCATGGAATATTGGAAGTTATGCTTTGGTGGCCGTGACAACGTCCCGAAACCTCCAACTTTACAACAACTTACAGATGTTTTTCTGTTATATCACTTTACTATTAAGTCACACCTTACTCACGTTGCGGACCCGCGAAGGGACATGATGCCTTAAATAATTGCATATACAATTGTCATCTTTTTTAAGTTTATTAAAAGATAAAAGTATGAATTTAATCTTTAAAAGTCGTATACAATTTAGTTTACAAAAAATTATAACCCGGTTTATTATGCAGTAATCTCTTAAACTATACAAAAATGAAATGAATCAAAGAGTAGTGTCACTTTATTGTACTACAAAATTAAATAGAGATAAAAAATTATCGCCGCCTTTCCCTCGCGCCTTTCCATATTTCATGCTGATAAACTAAAGTGTCAGACACACACACAAAAACATAAATAAATTAGGTTCAATACATTTGAAAAGAGTTTAGGTCAAACATGAAATTTGAATCCAACTTTTACAAGGAAAATATATTTTATATGAGTACTCTTTACTATGATATTCTTCGTGCTCACCGCTAGGCGATGGTATTTGTTTTAAATTACAATTTATTTTCAATAATATTTGAGTTTCTGATTCATAACTGAACTACATTCTAATTCAATTCAGGAAAGATCGTACAGAAGCCGTTTTGTTAATACCCCCAGCTTCCGATAGGATGAAGTCGCGGACTTAAAAGACAATCTTTTCCGACTGAAAATGTTGCCCTAAGTTATGAAAGTTATGAAAAGGACCATAAAATGATATTCAATATTGTATCTTTAATCAATGTCTGACTAACATTTAACAAATAAAAGTAATGAGATATGGTATTATAACCATCATTTATCTGTAATGCTTTAGTCTATTATTACATGCACTTCAATCACGGAAATCCTGTAATATTATCACATGAGTAGCCAAGTGTTATCGAGCGTTTTCTGTCATACGAGTAATGCATGTAAATAGGGATAAAGTTGCATATCTATGTATGCATTTTTGTTTGTATTCGGGTTTTAACTAGATTATCTAGTGTTATCAATTTTACTTCTAGTTTACACGCCAAATAAATTATAACAAACATGCATGTACTTTAAATTTCTATCAATGTTATCAGAACTACAGACGTTTATGCTAACTGCCACTCAAAATTGTTCTAACGAGTAAAATTGGTGTGAAATGAATAGCCCGCAGGTAATACCAATTACTGATCAACATATGCAGACAATTTTCTTTCTCTGTTAGTAGTCCCAGGTGTCTGCCTCTAAACCCAGGTATCATAGGCTCGAATCTAATCGGGTCACGAACATGTTTCTTCATATGACACAACTCGAAAGTGACAAGAACATGTTTTGCAATCGGGCTTAAATCCAGTAACGAGATATCATTTTACAAAAGCAGTCTGTCATATTTTGCATAAAAAGTTCAAAGCAAATTTAGCTTATTTTTCTGTAGATGAATCTAACATATTTAGAGATTGCAAAGCTTGAATTAAAATCTTTACCTGAAGCTGTTTGGTGTAACAAGTTTGCACTTCACATCCTCATAACTACACATAAACACTACTCCAATAATTATCGATTTTCCTCTTCAATATTTAATTTAGCTAAACAAATAAGTTAACTTAAATAGCATAACAGAATAAATTTAAACACTTCAGCTTTAAGCAGCTTTTAATGACTGCCAAAGCGCAATTGAGTTTATATACAACGTACATTATATACCATATCAAATGCGTAAAGGTAGATAACTGCTGAGCAACGATAGTGTAATAAATTACAGGGAATTTTTCCACTCTAGCGATATTAGTAATGGCATGTGTGCAAATAAGATGTGTGAAGTTGGCGGCCTAACGGCCTGGCGGCCTGGCGGCGTGAAGTTGGCGGCCTAGCGGCCTAGCGGCATGGCGGCGTGAAGTTGGTGGCCTAGCGGCCTGGCGGGCCAGCGGCGTGAGGTTAGCGGCCCAGCGGCCTGGCGGCCTAGCGGAGTGAAGTTGGCGGCCCAGCGGCCTGGCGGCCTAGCGACCAAAAATTTTAATGTTGTAAAAATGTTTTTTTAACAATAAAACGGCAGTTAATGAAGTTTTAAAGATAATTATTGTTATTTAAACGATATATCTAAAGAAAAAATCACTTTCAGAGATTTTTTTAATTTTGTCATTTTTGTGAAGTTGGCGGCCCAGCGGCCTAGCGGCCTAGCGGCCAAAAGTTTTAATGTTGTAAAAATGTTTTTTTAACAATAAAACGGCATTTAATGAAGTTTTAAAGATAATTATTGTTATTTAAACGATATATCTAAAGAAAAAATCACTTTCAGAGATTTTTTTAATTTTGTCATTTTTGTGAAGTTGGCGGCCCAGCGGCCTAGCGGCCTAGCGGCCAAAAATTTTGATGTTGTAAAAATGTTTTTTTAACAATAAAACGGCATTTAATGAAGTTTTAAAGATAATTATTGTTATTTAAACGATATATCTAAAGAAAAAAATCACTTTCAGAGATTTTTTTTAATTTTGTCATTTTTTGTGAAGTTGGCGGCCCAGCGGCCTAGCGGCCTAGCGGCCAAAAATTTTAATGTTGTAAAAATGTTTTTTTAACAATAAAACGGCATTTAATGAAGTTTTAAAGATAATTATTGTTATTTAAACAATATATCTAAAGAAAATTATGACATACAACTCCTACATATATAACGATAAGTTTTGCCTGCCCAGCCCTTTTTAAGTGAATGTGACGTTAATTTCAAATATTTTTTCCTTATAGTATGCAGTCAGTATGCATTTAGTGAAGCACGATGTTCTTTAAACAAGGACTGTAATACCGGTGCAAGGATAGAATACAGCCTGTAAAAAAGTCCCGTCAATATAATGACATTTTGGTTCAATATATTGCTACTTTGGTATCATATATTGAAGAACTGGTATCATATAATGTGAAAATCAACTTATATATTGCTGCTTCGGTTACATATATTGATAAACTGGTTTCATATATTGTAAAATTGATTTAATATATTGATAATTCGGTTTCATATAATAGCATCTGGTTCCATACATGACTTACTTGGATCCATATATTGAAGATCTGGTATCATATAAAATTACTACTTAAATGGTAAACGATTTATGTTGACATATTCATAAAAGATGTACAGTATTTGTATGATACATGTATTACTAGTAATATCGACTTATAACAAATAAACCGGTTATATTATATGAAACTACCGAATTACATCTTTGATGCTTCAATGTTGTTGTTTTTTGGACACGGCTTGATATGCACTTGTGTACAGTTAGACATCATCATAAATGTAAAAATATAATGAAGTTAAGTATGTTATATATTGATCCATATATTCAAGATATAAATATTTCGTAATCGTAGTGCGTTTAAAATAGTTTGATTTTTAAAAATTGCTAAATTTAATTAATTAATTAATCACTTGACATGTAGCAGAGTCCTTTAAAACGAGGGGAACAAGAAACAAATAACAAAAAAAAATAGAAAAAGAAATTGGAAGAACAAAGTATTTTTTCAAACGATCATACAAAAGACAGACAAAAGAAAAAGAAAAAAAAACAAAACAAAATAACATCATCACTATGTCATGTATGAGCGTCGGTTTCGAACCTGTGAGTGCATTTCATAAGAGGTTACAGTGACCCTGATTTACCAATTTAACCACTACGATGGTACACATTTTTATTAGAAATTATACTATAATAGTCGTTGACACTTTCAATCTCCGATGATATGCAGACTTACCCTTTAATGGACTTTCCCAAGTACCGTTAGAACCAAATTATCATCTCGGGATAATAGGTAAAACAGCTTTTTTGAAGAAGAGAATATAGTACAAGATAAGAAGTACCATTTAAAACAACTTTATGGCAAATTTGGTAAAGTTGTTGGTATACGATACGACTTAAAATTTTACCACGAGTTCGAGCCTAAGAAAATTGTCTAACATTTTTCTTTCCTTATTTTATCAATTTTATGATATATGCAAATGAATTGGGATATCAAAGTAGTTTTGTTTACAATATCTAATAATTTTAATATACAGATAATAATTTTTTTTTCTTGTATACATTGAAAACAAAAGAAAAAGTGAAATGAGAAGTAAATAAAAAAAAATAACACAACACAATAAAAATATTCTTCATACAGAAATAATTTTTGCGAATCGAACAAGCCTTGCATTGATATTCAAATAAAAATTTAACTGACAGTCTTACCTACTGCGTTAAGTTGACAGTTGGCAAATTAGTAGTTTTTTTATTTACATAGTTGAAAGATGATAAATACAATATGATATCTGTTTTACACCGTTATAGTAGACTTGACCATTATGTTACTAATTAATTATAATTAAAAAAATGTTGTTTTGAAAATTTTCGTAATATTTGCTAGAAATCACTGACCAGCGAATTGCGTAGCTCATCTACACAAACGTTATCACAGATAGATATCTGACTTTTATTAAATTTGCCATATTTTCAGAATATTTGTTGCCATAGCAACCAGAATTTTCAACACCGGAGGAAAAGAAAAAGACGTGCATAATCTCCATACTGCCATCTATCCATATATCAAGTTTCATAAAAATATTTTCAGTACTTTTTGCGTTATCGCGGGATCCAGTTTTGTGGACGGTACAACCGGTTTCAAACATATTAGAACAGAAAAGGCCTTATATCGGAAATGATATATGGGTTATTTAAGAAATAAAAAATGGCCTTTTGGGAAAATGCAAGCTTACGGACTGGTTGGTCTGGCCCGAAGCACAGCTGAGGTCCATATACCTTCCGAAGTCTGAACAACTAGTCCCTAAACTTGCATTTTCCACGAAAGGCCATGTTTTATTTGTTCTATTATACAGAATCTAAATCCTTTCATCCCCTGTTTTGTGCTGTCATTTTTACTATTATTTGCTTTCAAATAATAATTTTACTTGTTCAGTGTGTGAAATATCTCAAACCCTAAACGGATTTTGTGTATGCTCTTCTTTTAATATTCCGATTACCGATGATCAAGGAGTTGTGATTCCATTTTTGTTAATGAAATTTAATATTAATTTAATGTTACTAGGCAAAATAACCCGGACTTTAAGAATTTCAGAAACAGTATAAATAAAAATTTTAACTAAATTAAAGAAAAATCATGACTTTTGATCAACATGTAGTACATTTATGTCTCAGATAAAGAGACAAATCGCCTATCCATTTTGACAGTTATCGTCTGTTTGTGTCGTCGTGAAATTCGCACGTCGTGAAAGCTACGTTTAACCTGCGGTCTGGAGACCGCAGGCGGTCTGGAGACCGCAGGGTATTGTTACGCGTTTAACTTTTGAGGCATGGAGGAGCACGTCACCTGTTTTCGGTACATGGAGGAGCACGGGATATGTAAACCTTACATGATTGGTTAATTGAACTTTCAAAAACCTGGCTAAATACCGTTTGCCGGTTCGTGACGGATTTACCTCTGGGGAATTAGGCAGAATTACATCTAATTAGAACAAAATAATTGTTACGTGATTTTTGTAATTTTGTTTAAATATTTTACCGTTTAAGGTTGAAAAACTTGAATAATGTGTTTTAAAATTATCAATGTTTCTTTAATATAAACAATTTATTGTCTGTAAAATTTGAGATACATACTAATTGAAATATTCGATCGTAGTGGCATATGCCATAATAAATAGAGATATTTTCTGCGTAAACTTGTGTGTTTACTTATTTTTTTGTTCGGAATTATTCATAAAATGGTAGGCCTATGGAATCATTTTCTTAAAAAGAAATAATTGTTTTATGTTCGACCTTCACCGGTCATCAACGGTCACCAGTTTACAATGACCTTCTTCTATATGGATCGACTATATGTTGTCCCCAAACAATGTTGAAAATAGTTAAATGAAATATCTTATATCATTTAAAATGTTCCCCGCCGGAAACCATTTTACTTGTAAGAATTATGGACCGCCCCCGGTCTGTATGCAAATGAGGTATAATATAATTTATTATCTCTCAATAATAGACTCCAAAGAAAATAGAGAATGCAAGTGTCAACTATATATATTTGCTTTGGAATATTGCTCTTAAGGGATCTCCACGATGTCCCATTACAGCCATCACGACACACATATAACGCGAAACAGCGTTAAAACGAATTTATGATGGTTAAAAGTCGAACAAATAAAGAAGAAAAAAAAAAGAGAAAAAAAAAAACAACAACAAAAACAAATGAAACCACGATGTTGAAAACTCTGCATAATCTCGTATCATCGTCATCGTACTTTCGACCTCTCGCCATAGTAGTTCCGTTGTTTCGTGACCTAGTAGCCTTTGTTCATTTAGTGTTTAGATTCTTGCTCAAGTAATAACGGCTTGCCCCTATCTTGGTTTGTGCCCACACGGTGAGCGATACATAGTTGACTATTTAGACGCGCTAACCACTCGCAATAACAAT